GGGGGGCATGATCGTCAATGTCTGCTCCAGACCTGATACCTGAACAAGAAGAAGAGTCGATGAAAAGTTCCCCTGAGGCAGGGCTGTCCGACTCAATACACCGGAAGCCAAGCTCAAACCACACCTAGGCTGCGCACCGGAGGAAATGAACACGCACTGAGTAGCGAAAATCAAACATTTGTAAAGAGCAATATATGAGTGAGAACAAATACAAGTGAAAGTGCTATTACAAATCAAGGAATACATTACACATGTACCAATTTTCCCTCGTACGCCAGTTTGCCAGATTTGGAAGTTTGGCATCTTTTCTTGGCGACATGTTCGTTTACGTTTAGGGTAAGGTTCTGCGTTATTTACGGCGATTCTCAGGCTGGACTAAGTGACGTTTTCTCGCTGGCCAGACATGGTTGTTCGTGGGCCTGGGTTTGGCACCTGCGCACTGAAGCAAATATTGTAGACATAACACGTCATCACCACCTTCACCATCATCATATGTGAGGCATCGTGGTGGAATCAGGCTCTCGTCAATTTTTGGGCATTTAGAGTTATTGGTATCATCTTAAAGCTTGTTCACGTGTCTTTATTTGTATGAAAAAAATATCAATTTATTTTGAATACAAGTCGAGGTATTTGCGAAAGAAGGAGGTGGGGGTCACCTGTTTTCAGAGGTAAAATTAGTCGGAAAATGGCCGCCAAAGATTTGATATTTACTCAGCTTACGAGTCCGTGGTAACTGAAAATGTACACTTTTTGTGCCTTTAACTTTAATGAACATTTTTCAGAAAAATCCACACCGGAAAGAGTTCTTTAATGGGCATGAAAGGTGTTGAGCCAAAAAAAAAGAAGAAAAATTTGATAAAAATTCACAAACCGTCAGAAATATGCAAGTTTCTTCACTTTGATTATTTTGACGACAGCCTGATTTCACCACGCTGCCTCACATATCATGAGACAGACCTGCGACAGACATCAGCGATCATTGTTCGCTTTTCATTTTTTTTGTATAGCTCGGATGCTCTTAAAAAGACAGCCACATTATCCTTGTCTTTCCCTGTCACCCACCTGTTTAGGCTTTACAAGAAAGCTGCCCTCGGTCTACTCCTGCCTCGTTTGCCTTTAATGTCACCAGTGAGAGCTTGATCATACTATGCTCAAAGCTAGAACTGAAATTGAGTTTTCCTCATTCCTAAGAACGTTTGCTTTCTGGGCTAGCACGTATATGAAAGGTTTGCCGACAACAAAGACAATGGTGCTTACCGAATCCGCTGGTGTTTCATAAAAGTAAATTCTGCCCCACTCAATGATCTGGGAAAACAATAGAGAGAATGGCGTTATTCTGTGTGCGTGTGTTCTTACAAGTTGGCCACAGTAGCGGCTATGCTGGAACAGTCCCAGGATACCCGAGGGCCATTTCCGAGAGGGGTGAACGTTTTATCGAGTATCTCGATCTGTCTGCTGGGATGCTGTATCCATTTCAGCCTGGATGTGCCCTATCAGGTTGAATCAGAAGCCCGCCCCCTAAATGGTCTAAACTGTGTCGATAGGCGCGTAAACAACGCATAAAAAAAGAAAGTATCGTAAACTACTGCTACTGTAGGGGGCCTAGACAAAACATCGTTTTCTTTTTTAATCAAGTCGTTGTACTTTTTCTCTTCTTCGGGGAAAAGGGGGAGGGGGGAGCTTGTTGTTATGGGATATTTCATATAAGAAAAGACATCGTAGCCTTGTTTGTGCATTTTGGTGTTTGCAAGAGATTGTGTTGTGTGTGTGTGTGTGTGTGTGTGTGTGTGTGTGTGTGTGTGTGTGTGTGTGTGTGTG